TATTTTCACTACGCCCACAAGCTCACTCATCCATACACACTACAACCCCACTCCCGTAGATCCAACGCATAGGCCAATCAGCACTGATGCTGTCCAATGTTTTAGACGCTACCAACGTGGACACAGATACGGTACGATTCCTCAGTGAAGCCACACAGGAGAGAAAGCTGACCAACGTCACCACCGGCTGGGAGATGGCTAACTCCAGTGCCTGCTCAATGTCTGGGCGAATGCACATGAACAACAAGGGCGTAGTGGGGGCCGTAAGATGGAAGGTATGGCGACTGTCGGGTGTGTATGCGCGGGTGGGTGGGTGTTGGGTGTGGATGGGTACTGCTGGGTGTGTATGTGAATTGTATAGGTGTATGTTTAGTATGGTTGTGCCTGTGTATGTTAATAGTATAGGTGTATGTTTAGTATGGTTGTGCTTGTGTATGTGAATAGTATAGATGTATGTTTAGTATGGTTGTGCTTGTGTATGTGAATAGTATAGGTGTATGTTTAGTATGGTTGTGCTTGTGTATGTGAATAGTATAAGTGCATGTTTAGTATGGCTGTGCTTGTGTATGTGAATAATTTAAGTGTATGTTTAGTATGGTTGTGCTTGTGTATGTGAATTGTGTATGTGTGAATAGTATAAGTGTATGGTTAGTAGGGTTGTGCTTGTGTATGTGAATAGTATGAGTGTATGTTTAGTATGGTTGTGCTTGTATATGTGTATATGTGAATAGTATAAGTGTATGTATAGTACGGCTGTGCTTGGTAGCGTGTATGTTGCGTGTGTGCATGTATAGCATCTGTTGTTGTTTTGTATTGCATAGTCTATGCTGATTCATCGTACTACCATTTAGTGTGGGCATTCGCACAGGTGCGTCTGTGGGCGTAGGGGTGTGCTTGCGGTAATCGAATGGCGATGGACTTGTCAGGTGTTGCAAAGTAGATACTTGTAATACACATGCATGCATGTATTGGCGTATTAAAAGGCCTATGGATTGTAGAAAATGGCAGTTCAGACATGGGCTCTTACCATGCAGAAACACTTTACTACAGTACAACTGTCTAGCATAGTGTACACACATAGAGTGTTCAGTAGATGCCTTCTAATACGTATAGCATACACATACAGTCTTCAGTAGATGCCTTCTAATACGTATAGCATACACATACGTTGTTGGGTCTAGGTACCGAACTGGGCCACTCTGTATCGTCATTGTATCTACATTCATGCCCACTACACACCCCTCCTGTCACACTATAATTAAACCTCAGAGGTGCTGCTCAGCTGTCAACTCTACACTCCCATACCATCTGCATATCTACACACACACCCACACATTCACATCTCCTCTGTCCTTGTTCTGTGACCACAGAGGTGCTTCTTCGCACTGCTTCCTCGTGAGCGGTTGTTGTATTACTATGACGACGAAGAGAGCAAGCCCAAATACGCCATTCCCATTGGCGAAGGCGATCGCATTGTGCGTCCGTGTGACATGTCATTGTTCCAGAAGGACCTGGTGTTTCAGGTGTGTTGGTGTGTGTTTCAGGTGTGTTGGTGTGTGTTGGGATGTGTTGGTGTGTGTTGGTGTGTGTTTCAGGTGTGTTGATGTGTGTTGATGAATGTTGGTGTGTGTTGGTGTGCGTTGTTGTGCGTGTGTTACTACGGGAATTGTATGTATATGCAAGAGCACAGAAATGTGTATATGTGTGTTATTGTTTGGTCACAGATCTCTGTATAATCTGTTATCATCCCTTCAAAGATGCCTGTGTGTGTTATAATTGAGCATGTCGATGAATAGTCAGCAAACGATGCGTACATCTATCTGCCAATCGGTAGTGTTGATGTACTATGTGTGTTTAAATGGTCCGTGTAAACCTTTCTGCATAGCTATATGGGCATTGCAATGATTCATGTTATACACATTCAGATCTGTTGTACTCGCCTCTGTACAGCCTTGCAACGGTGCTAAGGTTCGGTACCCCTACACCTCAATGTCTCGTGGTCTAGGGTTTAGGGTTTATGCTAACTTGTCTCGACATATACACACTCTCACACTCTACGCACAGCTTATTACCGATCAAGGGCCCATCTATATGTCATGTGCGAATGAGGATGAGATGAGCAAATGGATGCTCGAGCTCAGGAAGGTGACTATGGGTGACGAGGCCGATCTAACCAACACCGTCAGAGAAGTGCAAAGCTTACGTGCCAATGTTATGGAAGGTAAGATATGGTACATGTATGATCATTATATGACAGAATGGGTTGTAATTAATTGTCGTAAATGCCCATATGTCAATGATATATATATATATATATACACATACATATATTTATATATATATATAAATATATATTTATGTATATGTA